GAAAAGTGTTTTTTTTTAAAGATTGCTCTTATTCAAGCTATGAGGAAAAAAAGATGGTATATATTCCAATGATGACAGTTCACTATTATGACAGTGGTGTAAATGGTTGTAAAATTTTATGTAGTAATTTACATACTTGCAAGTAAGTAGACTTTAACAAATTTTATTAAATCATTATATTTTCTGATATTTTGTTTTGTTTTTTTAGATCATTCAATGATTTTAAGGCATTAGATAAATGCAGCATAAAAATGAGCAAATAAGTAACATATCAAATCTTGCCAATGGTGTAAATGCTGTTTATTATAAAAAAAATACACTATGTAGTTAGTTTTTTTTATTATTTATCAAATTCTTTTGAAACCATCTAACTATGAATTAATTATTTAAATTTCAGCCAATGAAACAGTTGAAGGTAACTAAAAACTATTTTAAAATAGTTGGATACTAAACCAAGTTTTTTAACAGAGCATTTGTATTCTGAGTATGACACTCTTCAATCAAATTTGATTGACAATCTCGTATACTTTCAATCTAAGTTTGGAACACCAGTACAAATGGAGACATGTAGGATAGTTTGTAATATTCTATCAAACTGTTTGTTAGTTTTTACAATTGGAAAGTTTTTATCATATTTTCTGTTTACATTTTCAATCATTTACAGAGGATTTAATTTTATCCAATGCCAACAACAGTGTTTTAACATATACTCCTGAAAATGGGACAGTCTTCTATAGAAAAAGTAATGAGTTTTTTATAAAATTTTTATTTTATACTTTTTAAATTTATTTTAACTTTTCATTTAAAAAGTTCAATCATCTTTCATTTTAAAAAATTTTTAACAAACCCTTTTTTTTCTTTTACATACTTTCACATCAATATTACCTTTTGATAAGCAATTATCATTGAAATACTTCCTTTCACAGAAAGATCTATATCCACTGAACAAGGATAGTGGGGAGGGTGTGGGAAGTAATTGCCATTAATGGTTCTATTTATTGCATTAATACATTACTTTCTAAATATTGGAATAAAAATCTTTTTGACAAAAATGTTCAATGTACTCTTTTTTATTATAATCATTGAAATTCTCTTCTCAGCTTAACAGAAATTGTTTGTATCAATCATTTAATAATACCATTGTTTCAACTTGTTTGTCTAGAACTAGATCCTCATTCTACTCAATCCATATTCTTCAGAAGAAATACTGGTGGTTTGGTGTGTGTATACTTTCCAGATTAAATGTTAACAATAAATTTGATTCAGCAACATTCCAGATTAATATACAAATATCTGCAATAGTCATTGTTGGAATAAATATTACAATTGATTGATTGATATGCCTTTTTTTTAAAATAATAAAAAGTAGAAGCGTCCTGAGTACCATTCCCAAGGTGAACAGACTAAAATACAATGTAACTAGTAATTTATTTTCCAATTCACTAAAAATAGTTGTGCCAGTTATATTTGTTGTTTTATTCATTTTCAAATTCAAATTTTGTATTTCCTGAGAGAGAGAGATGGAAGATTAAAACTACCATTGATGATATGCTTAGAAATGTCATTTATTATTTATAAAAACAAAAAGCTTTTAGCAAAGGTAAACACATTTTCCAATTTTTACATATTAATATAAGAAAGAAAAGAAATAAAACATAATTTACATCACGTGACCTTTTATTTATATATTTCTTTTAAGATTTTCTTACTGTAATTAATTGTTTTATAATTAATACCATATGGATGAAATATAGAGCAAATAAACCGGAAATAGCTACTTCTTAATGATGAACTATTATTACAATCTGGAACAATTTCATCATAATTAACTCTAAAGCTTGAATGTGAAAGCCCAATGTGATAGTTTAGTCTGAATTTTTGCACTAAGAAGAATGATTTGCAATATTAAATAGATACTTTTGCCTTCAACATTGGAAATAGATTTGTTAACAATAATTAACACTGGGGGCTGTTGAAAATGCCCATTTTGATGTATTTTTGAAGTGAGACTTTTGCTTGGGGAAATTATGAATGTAATTGATTTGTAACTAGGTGGGTTCAGACTTAGGGCTAGGAAGAATGAAACTCTTAGAAGTGGGTCAAGGGCTGCGTTAGGGTTAGGTAAAGCCAAAATTTAATCCCAACTGTACACTTATGAGTTATAGTTAATAGATATGATATAAATTATAGAAGTATTAGTGTAGATGCTGCCTCTAGGATTGATAGTACCAAAATCAACTCCTTTTATAGGCAAAAGATGAAATGTTACATAACCAGGCATGTTGACAACAACAGTAAATGTTTATTTACACAAATATCCTATAACAATTGACCGTTAAGATTTTACCTGCAGAAATCTGTTATTGTTTACACCACTATTGCATAATTAGATAATCCTTGACCGTGTTTGTTGTGAACAATCATGATAAGGAATTGTATATAAGCCACGGGTGGTAACAGGCATTCAGTCCCGAATGAATCCTCTTAATTAGCAGGTAATCAACAGGATTCCCATCTTTCTAAAACGGCTAGTGCTGGAAGTTAACCGTCTACTAGCAGATCAAGTAAAGATGATGAGAAAATTAGTGAGTATTTGCTGAAAGTGGAAGAATATTTGGAAAGAATAGAGACTTTGGGTGGAGCTGTTGATTGTGAAGCTTTCATTGCAAAACATGTGCAGTCTGCTTCATTAAGTCTTCCTAAGAACTCCTCTATATATGGAAGTTGAAGCATTTGAAATCCACCATCTAATAGTTCAAGTCAGCCAATATCTCAAGAAATAAATAGGGGACAGAAGACTACTGAACAATGCAGTAGTCAAGAGAACAGAGGTTACAATCCAAGATATGGTAGAAACCAACATGGAAACAGGAGTATGAATTAATGGTAACTCTCCTGAGAATTAGTTGTGAAAAACATGACAGGCCATCAGATAGGGAAAACACAGCTGGAACAGTTGCAATATCTCATGTTGAACAAGAGCCAAAGTACCATTTTTGATGTACTTCTCAAGTCATGTCCTTCATTACAGAAAAGAAAATGCAGTTGTTGGGTGAAAAAGTACAGGTGAAATTACCTCCTGGGTCATCATGTTTCACCATAGCTGATGGTATAAAACTAAACACTCTTGGACACTGTAAATTAAGTATTTAGTTTGCTGATAAGATTCTAGAACAGAAATTGAGAAAGGATTAGGTTTAGGTTCAATTCAAATGAATTGAGAAAGAAAGAAGAAAGTTGGTAACTATATGATTGATTGAATATTGGTTAAAATATTTTATTCTAAAATCTAACTTTTTAATATTTAATAGAGTTTATACATAAATTATGGTCACAGATTTCTTTTGGCTCTATTGATTAAACAAGAAATTGTATCTGTACATGTTTGAGAGTCTTAAAAACAGATTATAATTATATGAAAAGAGAGTACAAAGCAAAAACAATTTCACTAAACTTTAACATTAGCATAGGTTTAAATTTTGTTAAAGTGTTACACAAGCTGCAAGTACAAACCATGGCTTCTGTACACTTAGACATAATGACATATCGATATTTAGACTTTAGATATAAATGAACTTAAGAATAACTTCTATTTTGTGGCAATTATAATGGTACAACTTTATAAAGGCTTTTATTTCATAGAATAATATTCTAGAACTTTAGAAAGAACTCTATTTCGTAGGAAATAGATTGTTTGTCGATATTAGATGGAGCCACTATGCATTTAATAAAGGAACAAAGAACATAGAAAAGATGCATGTCAAATTTGTTACATCTTAGGCAATACCAGATGCTACTGAAGCAGGCCTGTGCTGCAGTGCCACATGTTCGCCATTTGGCCTTCATCTCATCATTGTACTCTATGTGTGTGATATAATAAAGAACTATAGTTAATAGATATTATATAAATGATACATACTATATGATAGAAGCATTAGAGTAGATGTTGCCTCTAGGGTAGATGGGACCGAACTATCAGAAACAACCCCTTTTATAAGCAAAATATAAGATGTTACATAACCAAACATGTTGACAACAATAACAAGAGTTTATTTACATAGTAAATAGTAATTTAGAATTTCAATGGAAAAGTTATACTCTTGGTTGTAATATTATCTTTTGTTGCATTAAACAACAACAATAAATCAACATTTATGATTTTAAAAGGCAAGAACAAGAAATTATATTTTACTCAAAATTCAAAATTCAACTTTGGTAAAGCAGAATTATATTTACCAGAATTTAGATCTTATGACGAAAAATATCTTTCTTTTGATATTGATGGATTTTTTTCAAATTCTAAAATTAATTTATATTTCAAATGTATGAATAGTTCAAATTATAGGTTTGGTATACAATATTTATGTGTGAAAAGTTTTTCATACTTTTTAAAATTTCAAAAAATAGATATATATATCATCATTTCTCCAAAAAAAATTTGATTTTTATTTATGAAAATGTTGAAAATGTAAGTAAAAATATATAGAAAATCTAAATACTTCAATAATTGATACTTTTGTATTGATGATAAAAGGTAAAATTTGAAATAAGATCTCTTGAATCACAAAAATTGCAATTTACATTTGATAATTTCAAATTGGAAAGAGAAAAAGCCAAGTTTAAAAGTATTCCTTTTCTCTTTATCAAATTAAAAAAAAACATAAATTTTTTCATCCATTTAGAAATGATAATTTGTTCCTTTAATTATGATTTTTGTCAATTTAAACAATTGAGTCATCACTGTAGTTTCTCATTACAATGGATTGTATGATGAAAGATGTTGGCTTTTTTTCTATTTAAGAAGAATTTACTATTCTAAATGCAATTTTTTACAATCACACCAAATTTTATTTTTCTTCAGGTGGAAATTTTCTTCTTATATCCAATCATTTACTTTATCCATCCGTTAATACCTTTATTATATTTGAAAGTCCCTATTTTAAAGTGTCCAACAGTTGTATTTCCTTTCTATACTCTACAACAAGAAATCAATTTAGTATAATGGTTTGTAATAATTTTTTAATTTTACTACTCTTTTCTCTTTTTTGTTCAATAAGATTATTCTATATCTTTTAGCTATTCATTTTATTGGAAAATAGAAAGGTAGAATCTTCTCATATCATTGATAATGATGTATTGTCAAATCAATGGCATAAGGCATTTATCTTAGATTTACCAAATGAAAATTTCAAAGTCAAATTTCTATTTTTATTTGTTTAAATATCACTTCAGAAAAATGGTTTTATTTATGATCTATTATTTCAAATAGATCATTATCAAAATTACTAGAGGACTACTACAATCCGAGTACATTGCCTTAAATGAAATGGAATTCTTAGCTAAGGAGCAATGCTTACACGGCATACAGAAAAACAAGAAGGAAAAGAAAAGTATTTAAATCTTCTCCTTGTCAATCTGAAAATGTAATTTACAAGTAAAAGTTAATTTTCTTTAAAGGTTGTAATTCTATTAAAGATCTCAGTGGATATAAAGTTGAAAATCCTTATAATCAAAACTTTCAATGGTTAAATGAAAATGTGAATGAAATGAAAAAAAAACAAAAAATTAGCAATCATTTCATAATAACTGGTAAAAATTCTGAAAAGAATCAAATTTCTCAATTAATATCTCAGAATGAAAATATTCAATTGGAAAATAAAGAAATATGCTTATACTTATGGATAAAAAGTTTAGGAATGACATCAAAAAATGAAATATTAGTAAATTTAAAAGTGATTTCTGGGAATAAAACACTAAAGAAGTTGAAATATTTGTTTCCTTTGCGAAAAAATAATATGAATGTTCTATTTTATTTCTTTTCAGAGAACTTAAAACTATAAATTCAAACTATTATTTATATCATTTAGAAGAGAATTTGAATCAGGTTTTATATACATTTTACTAATAAAAAAGAATAAATTTACTTAGTTGGAAAATTTCAATAATTGAACATATTATCATAATTGCAAATTCAACAATTCTTAGTAATAAAAGTGTCATAATTAAAAGATTGAATGTAAAATACTGCCATTCAAGTAAGTAAAAAGAATTTCATACTATATGAATATTATATTTAAAAAACCAATAGATTCAAATAGACAATTGTTGAATGTGTCATGTGGTAGAATATCATCAGTTTCAAAATATATTGTTGGTGGAAAAAGGGTAAATATTGAAGAAATTCCATGGCAGGTAAATGAGAGAATCAATGCTTTATTTAACAATACTCAAATGATTAATTTTAGGGAATTATTTTAAGAAATCTAACATATATTTGTGGTGCAGTATTAATCAGTGAAAAGTATGCTCTTACAGCTGCTCATTGTCTTCAAGGGTAGATATAATTGTAAATATAAAAAATTTGATAAAATGTCCCATATGTATCAAGTTCACTGTTTCAAGGCTAAGATGTGAAGGACATTTTATCTTCTATCCATTAGAACTCTAATTTTGTTTTTTGAATAATCATTATAATCCAATAAATATAGGTCTACAGAGTTTTATGCAGTGTTTGGAACAGGTGATAAAAGACAGATTGCAGATAAAATAAAGATTAACAAATTTTACATTAATCCTAAATATGATGGACGTCAACACGACATTGCAATCTTTAGATTGTCATCATATGTAAAATTTTCTGAAAGGATTTTTCCAATTTGTTTACCTGAGAGCGATAATGTGGAATATCTCAATATACCTTGTCAAACTTCCGGTTTTGGTCTGAAAAAGTTTCCTTTTTTTTACCAAGTAAAATTGAAATTGAAATTTAATTAGAAAAAAATTGATAAATATCTGAAATTTTAGATGAAACAAATTATCTATGGAGAGTTGAACAAAGATTGATGACTGAACAGTCCTGCAATAAAAAATATCCTATTGTTGTCAAATCTGTAAGCTATCCACAAAATATTTGTGCAGAAAGTGTGAATTATCCAGGAAATTCTTGCCATGTAAACATTTTTTTTATTAATATTATTTATCATTCAAAAAAGATTTTTTATGTGAAATTCTTTTAACACCATTACCAGGGAGATTCTGGAGGTCCTTTATTCTGTTATATTGATGATTACTGGACAATTGTTGGTATTGTTAATGGAGGAGATTCTCTTTGTAAAAAAAAATTGACATACTCTGCTAGGGTTAGTTGTATTTTTATATTTATCTATGATATTTGAATGTTTCTTGTGCTAAAAGGTTTCAACATATCATCACTGGATAAGAGATGTATTGGTAAAAGATAAAAATCTATAGAAAAATCCTTCAATATTTTCTAATATTTTGAGAAATTAGAACAAAAAACACTGACAATAAAAGCTTATTATATAATATAATTAATAAATTCTAATAGTGTACCCAATTATATTTGTAAGACTATACAAACAAATTTCCATATTAGTTGGTTAGGCCTAGATTTAACCTGATAATAAATTTGTCTAGTTGATTAATTAATTAAGAAAAATATCTTTTTTTTTGTTGCAAATAATTATATTTTATTCTGAAAATTTTTTAATGACCTACTTTCTGTTTTTATTCTTTCACCTTGAAACAAGAATAAATGATTGTAAAATAATTGAAATTATTACAACAGCTATAATGAGTGGAATAATGACTGGCTACTAATTTGCATTCATGTCTATTATTACACCTTTGAGCTATCATTTTTGTTGAATCTAATGATTCGCATAGATGATTATTCTCTTTTGAATAAAACTCTCTCAAAAATTTCTCAGAGCAATTTCTCTTGCCATTGTCTCCACTTCCATAGAAAACATGATTAATAATAATTTTAGATCCCAGTGGACAGGTTAAATAGATGAAAAAATTTCTACAAACTGTTATTGGAATTTTATCTTAAAAAGGAAGAGATAAATGTTGAAGATTAGTTGAATTTTGAAAGAAGAAAAATAGTGAAAGAAACTTACAATGAACATAGCTTTGTAGTGTAGAAGTTGGTCTAATAGTTGTTGTTGTTGTTTTTGGTGATGGAATTTCACAAATATATTTAACTTCTAAATATTTAAAAATTCCAACACAAGGATCTCCAAATACAGAATTTTTTGCCTTTACACTGCATCTTTGTCTATTATTACACAATTGAGATACTTTTAAATAGGATTTTGAAGAATTGCAACTATTTTCATAAATTCTCTTTTCTACTTTCAAAGAATTCTTGAATTTACAAATTGTAAATTCCTTCTTCTGTCTTCCATACAGTGCCGATTTTATTTTAATAACATTTCCATATGGACATACTAAATTTAATGTTTTATGTTCACATGCAACTTTTCTATTTGTGTCTAAAATATGAATTAAAAAATTATTATTGAGTTTTTAGTTGGAAAAAATTCCTTTATTTACCTTTAATACATTCATACTTTACTGTTAAATATTTATGAATTCCAAAGCATGGATCTCCAAAAATTTTATTCTGAGCTCTAACTGAACACAATCTTTTCCCATTGCAGTGCTTACTAACTATTTCATCTCCATTTTTTGCTTTACAAACATTAGCAAATATTCTTTCTCTAAATGGACTTTTACTCAAAAAACGCCTATAGCACGTCTTAAAATCTCCCTTTTCCCTACCATAAATAATGCTATTTATAGAAATTACCCGATTAACGGGACAAATAACATTTAATGAATGATTTTCGCAAACCGTTTGCGAAATTTTTACCGCTTCTGGAAAGGAAGAAGATAATAATTCACAATTAGGCCTAAACACAAAAACTTACCATCATATTGAAAGTGACTGAAAAGTATTAGAACTAGAATTGTTGAAATATTCAAAAAAGAATCTGCCATAATTCAAATTCTTCAAAATTTTAACTCAATGAATAGAAATCATCAATTGAAAGATTCCAAAGAAGATATATATATAAATATGCGTAACCTTGACTACGCTGTAGTCACGTGATAACCAATAGGAATTTTAGTATTTATAAATTAATGGTAAGATTATAAATAATTGGATATAATTATATATTTGTCAGTTGGGAAGTGAAATTGTTACTAAAATGCCTAGTAAATCCAATTATGTAACAGAAACATTAAGGCCAAGTTATAATTCTATCAGACTTTGAAACATCCTATTATTAAACATCAACATGAACTAGACAATTCACCAATTGAAAAGTGATGATTGGATGTTAAATGGCAAATTGTATAGCATATAAACGATCACTGTTCCATTCCAATCATCTAATCGTCTGAGAAGGTCATCTGAAACAAGATTTTTACTCTTCATAATTGGATGTTAGTTTGAAAATTTGGACATTTATATGCGAGTGAATCGCATGAATACAGAACAAGTTCAAATAGGGGTCAACTACAGAATTAACAAAGTCCTAATCTAATTTTTTGCCAGACAATTTTCTGGATGATTAAAAAACAATTCAAAAATTAAATTTAATTATTCAAAAGTATTTTTTATTCTTTTAAATAACAAAGAGATGAAAGAAAATTTTTAATTTAAAAAATTTAAATATTAATATAAAATTCAAAAGCAAAAAATAATTGATTTTTAAAGATGATGCTGAATATTCTGGGTCACCACCTGTTCAAAAAATACAAGAAAAACAATATCAATTCAATATATCTATTTATAAATAACGTTTGATCATTTACAAATTCGTCTATTGGGTCCATCCTATTTTATAGGCTTATATAAAGCTTTTATTTTAATTTCTGCATCAAAGAGTTTTGAATGTTTGAAAGATGGTTTCTTCTACTTATTTCAGATATTTAAAATTTTTTACAATAGTATTGATACTACTCACACCATCAATGGAAAATGTCGCACGTGGTAAATTCAATTTTTTTTCTTTGCTCAAAAATCAACATTAATTTTCTAGCTTCTTGTTCCTATGATGCTCAGTCGACGTTGAGAGCTAGTATAGAAAAATTGATGGAATTTGAACTTTGCAGTTTCAAAGAGTGTAAAGAATATTGTAATCTTCATCCAAACTATATTCAAAAGATTAATCATTTGTCTATGATTCTCACACCGACGTTTATGTGAAACAATTCGCTTGTCATAAGATAATTTGTTTTTTAAATTTAAAAGAACAAAATTTATTTTTAACTTAATGTCTCTTTTTTTTTAAAAAAAAAACAACAACAACAATAAAACTTTTTAGCAAGTATTCCACAAGGTAAGAAAAGGATTTAAGAAGATATGTCATGGACTAAAGTCATCTTCATCTTCCATGATACAAATTAACTTTTCCTATTGTGTTCATGGTGGGGAGGAAGTTCCATGTTTGAATGAATTTCTAATGAAGATTTTCCTATAACACAGTTACAGAAAGTTATATTGATAAATATTGTATTTAAACTGGATATTACGAGATTTAAACACACTCTAGTTGAGGTTGGAAATCACCTTTTAGACTTATTTTTTTCCAGTGAATTTTCAAGTAAATAACAGTTAAGTTGTTGACGGAATATTCTACAAAAGAAGAAAACTATAACTGTTAAAATATGTGTCCAGTTTTTGGTGTTTTACCCTAACCCTAACCCACCAGTTAAGAGGATTGTTTCCACTTGATGCTTCCTAACCCTCAGTTCAGCCCTACATTAGAGGGAGGGAGTATAATTGTAAGACATAGGCTTACATTTTTTTATTGAACTCTTTAACAGTGTGAGTTATAAAAGTATCATTTTTATCAATAAGAAGTATATTATGCACTAGGCTTTTAAGTATAACATGTCAAGGTAAATTTTCATTGAGTTTCTCTGTCTTAATAACTAACTCTTTCTTAACCAGCCCTAATCATATCCGATAACGCATACACTACAAAATATTATTATTACTATCTCTTTATCTATTCAATGAAATTTATGAAAATTCTTAAAATCTCTAGTCGTCTATAAATTGCTGTAAAATAGAATGGTAATTGCTGTATTCCATTGCAGAATGAAGACAAATCATATTGGAATTATAACAATAAAATCGATAATTTAACGACAATATCTGATTGTGAAGAAGACAAAGATAGAGATGAGGCAATTAGCCAGCCCCTTTGTTAAATATCCCAATAAAACTTTAGAGCAATGTTCTACTATCTGTTCAAATTATTCGGAATGCGAAGCTTTTGCAATGATTGGTCGAATATGTTTTACCTATACTGGAATTAGAGAGCCTGCCAAAGGCAGCAGTTATACTACTTATATTAAGAAGGCAGAATGTAAGTTGGAGTTGTTTAATAGTTGTAAAAAATTAGCATATTCATTCTCTTTCCCTCTCTCTATATCTATCTATCTATCTACCTATCAACTAGACAATGTCCTGCACTATGGTTTCGTGGAAAATCGACTTTCGCCTGGAGGAAATATATGAGTGGAAGGTAACGTTTCAGCCGAGGATTGAGGAGAGGCCTACAGTCCTGATTTTATGCTTAAAACAACCCAATGTTTTTTATAACAGCCCCTATTTTCTGGTGAGCCAGCTTAGGGTTGCACTGAAAATATTATCAATTAGGTGATAAGCGTGTGTAACAAAATAAAAATTTCCTTTTAGTATGCTTTATAAAATGTAATAAGTTATATAGCCGCATTTTTAGCAAAAGTGTATAGCAGCTTCCATAGCTCAGTTGGTTAGAGCGTCGTGCTAATAACGCGAATGTCCTGGGTTCGACCCCCAGTGGGAGCAATTTCCTTTTACTCTTTTTTCTCTTTTTTTTTCTTTTCTTTTTTTGCAATTTACTGTTTACGAAAGGATAGTCGAAGGATATGCTCTTGATCTTGCAAAAAATATTCTATTTGCCCGAGCGATAATGGAATATTTTTGTAATGTTAATGTTATACATTCTATGCATTGAATTGATATTCTATTTAATTTTTAATAACTTACCATAAACTTTAACGTGGACAGTAAAGTTTATGTTTGTTACCATTCCTGTTGCAATATTGTTTAAACGGCAGTGTCCGTCGTAATCAAAACTTCTATATTTAAAAAGTTAAGTGTAAGTTCTAGAAATTATTTACTTAATCTCGTTTTCCTGTATCTTAATCATCAGCATAGGCCTAAAATTTTCACCTATTCCCTAACTGATTATATATATACCTGCAACACTATTTTCTGAATTTTTAAATATTAATCAGATAAAACTATGGTTTCTTTAAACTTTAATTAGATTAGTGAAAAAGACGTTCTTGACATTCGTTTGTCATTCTCTAAAGCTATACAACAGACTGAAGCTCGTTTCTCTTTATCTAATAATTCATTCCATTATTTTTAAATAATTTATAAGCAAGTTTCGCAACAACTGTTCAATACAACGAAAAGAAAAGAGTCAGTTAAATGATCACGTGATAAATGATAAATGAAAATACTATGGAATTGTATAATGAAATCATGAAATATGAAATAGAATGCATATTTGAATATGCATTGTCTATCCAGAAGATAAATTTTGGAAGAAAATAATAAGAGAAATGGATAGTATAACAATCATCAAATTATTGGCAATTTCCTCAATTATCAATTTGAAAGTAAAAATCTCTATTGGATTTAAAGAAAGTAAGAAAGGGAGAGAAGAGAAAATTTTTGAATTTTAAATAAAAGAACGTAATGTAATTTTTTTTATTCTTTTTTGACAGATTGCTTCACTTTGGAACTTTTTGAAAAAGTTCTAATTAATCATAAAATTGAAGAGCTGGAAAGTACCTATGAAGAATGTAGATCAAAATGTTTTGAAATGGAAAACTGCAAGTAAGAGAGAACTTTTGTCTTTTTATTATTCTATGATCCCTTTCCATTATCTTCCCCATGTTCCATTGTTTTCTTTTTTGGTTTGCAGATCTATAAACTATGACTTTCCAGATGGGAAATGTTCAATAAACTCTGGCGATAGTTTATCATATCCTAATGATTTAATAGTTCAATCTAATTCAAAATATGTTGGACCATCCCATAAATATTGCAGTAAATGTTTTGCAGTTTTCTTCCTATTGAATATTTAGTAATAAATACGTATTTTGTTTGCTTTTGCAGAAGAATTTACAAATCCAGTTTATTGTTCATATTCAAGTGAGAAAATTGCAGGTTCTAGTAATACCTATGAAACTAGATGCAATGAACGTGGAGGTTGTTGGAAAAATAGTAAATGTTTTTACGGCGATACGTATATTCCTGGATTTATTAAATACAATAAAATCCCATCAACCGTTGACCAATTAGCTTTGTACACTTTTATTAGTTTGAATGATTGCGGAACGGCATGCCTTTCGAATAGTGAATGTAAATATTTTGTGTATAATTTTGATCAAGAAAAATGCGAAATGTCAAAAAGTTACCAAGCTCCCAGTGGATTGGTTACAACTACTCAAATGACATATTATAAGCTAGCTACTAGTTCCGCAACATGTTTCAACAGGGCTTGTGATGAACTGGAAGAACATTTGGCTGTAGATGCCACTGCTTGTAAAGACATATGTAACGCTGAAAGTTGTAAAACTTTTACTTATCTAGTCAACGACGCCGTTAATCACTGTACTACTCATACCACTGAATTATGCGAAGCTACTCCTATTAATACTCAAGATATTGTTGGATATTCTTGTATTCTTCAACCAATTTTTAATGATTTTACCACGATAAACGATCAAAAGACTATCGATATTACCGACTCAGATATTGATACATGCGTTACTATAACAACCGAAAAGCAATTTTCTCTTAGAATTCCGTGGCCAACTGTTGGAACAAACTCGACAGATTTCGAAATTCGTATTAAAGGAACCAACTTGAAACAGTGCATTAATCCAATAAATAGCCTTTTGAATTCTGGTGTTTTTGCCTACGTTCCCCACGATTTACAAGTTAACCCCGAATTTTTTGGCATTTTTAATACGTGTCACGTGACTACTGGAGATGATACGTATTGTAATTATATTTGCAGTTGTAATTCTCAACATTGCCAAGCTGTTTATATTAAGGGATTTGGATTAACTGATGAAAATATGCAAATATGCGAATACGAAATACACAGATTGTAGAATTATCCATACAGAAATTTGTGTTGCTTCCTATCACCTTCACCCTTAATATTAAATGGCTATTCCTGTTTAAAAAGGGTAAAAGGTATTTGTCAAAGATACTACAAAAGCATTGAATTGTGAATAAATTCAAACAGATGGTTCAAGGATTTTCTTGACTGGTTTCCTTTCACTCTTTCACTAATTGAACTCTATATCACATGACAATTGTAAGGTTTATCAATGTAAACTGAATGATAATGTTGTTTTTTGGTATATTTAAATAAACGAGACAGAAATTGATTAACTAGGTGGACCTATGACTTAGAAAAAGTAGATACTGTTGACAAAGTTTGCATTTTGAATGGAAACGTACCAAATGGTAGAATTAGCTGTCTGACTTATTTCTCTTGTGAATATAAGCAATACCTATCGCTCTTTGCTTATGTAAAACATTGAGTAATCCCTTTTAGATTTAATAATTTGGCTAATATATTACTGATGCCTTGTAATCATCTTGTCTGCTGTGAAAAGTGTCTGCAGAATCTGCCAAAATTTAAATGTCCAACTTGCAGAAGTGCTATTCAAGGACACATAGTTGTAAAATCTGATTTTAAAAGTATAAATGTAAAATTTGGAGATGATACTAATACTTATTACTAGTAGTTCCAAGTTTTAGCCTGTGTTTGCCTGTAACAAAGAAATAGGTCATCTATAATTTGAATTATTTAATTGATTAAATTTTACCTATTTCGGTAGTAGAAAGCTTCAATGGACATGATTATGAATAAAAAACATATTACAAGTAATCTTTAAGAAAGAAAGTTTGTATTACAATTTCATTTTTCCTCTCTCTTTTCTCTTTTTGGTTAGACTTACAACCCTACAACTTCTCTTATAAAATTGAATTCAAACAAATTGAATAGTTTATCATTCTTCTGTAAATCTCCATCTATGAATGTGAATTCTTGTACTGAATTCCAATTTGACTAGGTATGACTAGAGTATACAACCCATATCTTCTTGAAATTTACATTTAATGATGAATTTATCATTCCAAATTATTACCTGATTGTTGGATAGATAGAAAGAACAATCTACATCTCCTATCTTCTTAGATTTAGAAATTATGAAAATTTCTAAGAGAAGTGGTTAGAGTGAATTAGGATCAAATGTATTTGGTACTTGTACCTTTTAGATGGCGCCATTTATTTTCATATTTCATAAGAACAATTTGTATTGAATAGACCAATTCTTATCCGAAAGAGTACAAAATAGAGAGTAGACACTATTGACAAAAAACTAAACCCCAGGGTTGACACCTGAATGATAGGATAAGCGAAGAACAGACATAGACAATGATTTGCCTATTCTGTTCCAAATGGAAATGTTTCATAGAAGAATTTTGAAAAGTTCGTAAAGATTTTCTTGAAGAAATGATAGAGCTAAAGGAGACTTCAAGCTGCAGGATTTTCTTTTATAAGTTTCAGATCACTTTTCATCATATCTTCAACCAGATCCTAAGTTAATAATTGTATACAATATATATTATTTTTCACTCTACGTCAAGACTTACTTGAAAATCGAATTTTGGTTGCCAATTCAAATGTTTTCTTGCTTTTGTTGAATCGCCTTGAAGAAATTCAACTTCAGTTGGCCTATAATATTTTGGATCTACACGAATTCTTACAATACCAGTCTCCTTTTCTCTTCCAACCTCATCAACGCCCTCACCTGACCACCTACAAAAGGAAGAGTTATAAGAAAGCTAGCTTCTAGATTAAAACTACTGACTCAATAGATTTTCCAATGTACTTGAATGCTGCTTCGACAAATTCTCTAACATTATGAACTATTCCTGTCGCAATAACATAGTCATCGCTCTTTTCTTGTTGTAACATCAACCACATCGCCTCAACGTAATCCTTTTGCATGACCCCAATCACGTTTTGCGTTTAAATTGCCTAACGAAAATGACTCCATCAGCCCCAAGTGAATTTTCGATACTGCCCTTGTTATTTTTCTCGTAATGAATGTTTCACCTCTTCTAGGTGATTCGTGATTGAATAGTACACCATTCGAAGCAAATATTCCGTAAGCTTCTCTGTTGTTTATGACTGTCCAAAACGCAAATTGTTTGGCAATTCCGAATGGAGATCTTGGATAGAATGGTGTCTCTTCATTTTGTGGAATTTCTCTAACTTTTCCGTATAATTCACTGGAAGAAGCTTGATAAAGTTTAACTTTTATGACTTAATTTACATGCTCTAGTCGCTTCAAAAACACGAAGTACACCCATACCATCAACATCTGATGTGTATTCGGCTACATCAAAGGATACTTTAACATGACTTTGAGCTCCAAGATTATAGATTTCGTCTGGTTGAATTTCGTTAATTAATCTCATCAAGCAGGAAGTATCAGTCAAATCACCATAATGCAACTTCATCTCTGATTAAGATAAGAGAAATAATGATAAAAAATCAAATGTTCTATCAAAAGATACCTACTCCCTTCCTGATGGATTCTATGATCTTCGTACAAATGAGTTATTCTGCCGGTATTGAATGAACTAGAACAACATATGATTCCGTGAATCTGTGAAAATAGAGAAGAAAGCCTATCTCTCCATTGTTATTGATTAGTAATTTTATTTACCTCGTAGCTTTTTTCCAGAAGGATTTCAGCCAGGTAAGAACCATCTTGACCACTTATTCCAGTAATGATAGAAACCTTTGACATGTTAAGAAGAAGAATGACAATTTTAAACCGAATGTCTGTGTAGTGAACTCAGTATAGATTGCTTCTCATATAGCAGTCTGTCGCATGGACCGCATGTGTAGGTCATATTATATAGATGATCTACTATTGACTACAAGTTTATAGCTACTTACTATAAAGCAATATGACGTCATTCGGTATTGCTCATAGGTAAGCCTATCCGAAAGTTCAGGCCTTGGCCTTCTTTATCTTATAATTTTAAGATTTACTCTGTAATTTCTTTAAAACAGATAAAAAGCTTGCCATCTGTCAGTTGTTCAGCATAATCCTTTGAAAGACGACGATTGACTTGTTTGTTCACTGAAAAAGAATGACAAACTTAGCTAATTAACCTTCAATATAACACATTTGAATGAAACGTGTAGAGTTTATGATAAGTAGCCAATGAACAAAGAGTACTGAAAGAGAATAGATTACTCTTTTCAAGAGAAAGTAGCAGATCATTGCTAACAGACAAACCTAACCCTAGCCCTTAAATTTATTAGTTGACGGCGATTTGTGGTTTGTATCAAATTTGATTTTTCTTGAATATTCAACAAATTCAATGATTTACTTGAACTTTTTAAAATGATTCAAAACATATTTCATAAAATTAAAAGGCATTGGTTCCTGTTATTAAAAAGATTGGGGAGCGGCTAATAAAAGCTTATCATTATCTTACATATGAGACAGCTTGGTAGAGAGAAAGAGTGAGAAAGAGAGAGAGAAACAATTACATAAAGTACTTCACAGACACACCCAACTGCAATGGAACTAACATTTGTACATACCAATCTGATTGCATGAATATTAAATGTATGTTTGTGATACATTCTATGACTGCAATGATAAAAGCAACGAGATGAATTGTACAATTGGTTATAAATTTCAATGTTTAGCTGGGTGAGGAGAAATTGCAGTTCATCGTACGTGTGATTTTGTTGTTGACTGCAAAGATAAGAGTTAAAGCAGTAATTGGATAAATTCAGTCAGCGACATCACTTAGAAAGATAAGGAAAAGTATTCAAAGATGTCAAATATTACTCTACTTCTCCAAGTTGCTCTTTAGTATCTATTTCTGATATTAGGAGTTTAAGATAGACTGGTTTCTAGTAGATACATTGAAGGCAGCAGGGAATCGGAAAACTGATGGATTATTGCCTGATTTCTCATCAATTCTATCAAAATGTATGTACACTTAGACATAATGACATATTGATATCAAGACTTTAGATATAAATGAACTTCAGAAATAGATTGTTTGCCCATATTAGATGGAGCCACTATGCAGTTAACAAAGGAACAAAGAACATAGAAAAGATGCATGTCAAATTTGTTACATCTTAGGCAATACCAGATGCTACCCAAGCAGGTCTGTGCTGCAGTGGCACATCATTGTATTCTATGTGTGTGATATAATAGTCTTTCATATTTTTGTTACTTGTAGATTATAAGACTGCTACATTTTGCCCTCCTAATCCTTTCACCAATTCAACCCAAGCTTTTGGAAATGTATAAAACGAAATACATTACCCCAACTTGTCAGTTCAGTTCTACCAAAATTACATTTGTTGATACTGATTGTGGACGAACTTAAAGGGTTCTAAGAGGACCAGTACTTTGGTCAGTTCATCAATTATTCAAAAGGATGAACACTGTTCTGAAAAAGCAGAAATTCCTACTATTTAGTTTTTTTAGTATCATTTGTAATCATTTTATCTTCTTTCTTTTCCGCTTTATCTAAAAGATTATTTTCTAAATGTTGAAAATTTTTATCTTCTACAATTTTCTGTTTATTCTGTCCTTTAATTTTTTCAAGTAGTACTTCTTCATTATTTATGTTAGAACCTGGAGTGAAATTTGTTTCATCAGACTGAAGGATGGTTACCCTTGGTTGTTTCTGGTGATAGTTACATAGCCATAGAAGTTTTCCATTGTATATCTGGCATTTAGATAGAGTATTTGGTAGACTAGTAGTATATTGATTATCCATTTTATTAGCTATTGATTCCAACAGGGACACATAGCTATCTCTGAAGCTTTTCTTTGAAACGGCCATCTGCAAATGTTCAATAAAACTTTGACCTTCTTTACTCCTCAGAACATTTAATGGAATATTATTGTACTGGAGAATGGCATAAATTCTAACCAAATAAGCAGACCATTCTCTTATATGTTCTTCAGCTTCTTTGCTTTTAAGTGGAATATTCCATTTAACTAGGTGATTTTCAGGTAGATGCTAACCCTGAACAAAGTTTTAATGGTGTATTTTAAATTAACTTTCACTGAATCTACCTTACCTGATTGTGTTCGCAAAGAAAGACAAAATGATATTCCATTACGGAACTTTCATGTGAATTTGGAGAGAAATCTAATATTGGAATATACGGAAAATTTGATCCGCTGGATAAGTTTTGCAAAACAGTTAATTGTCTTAGTAGCTTCCTTTCTGCTAATTCTAAAAGTTCAGCAAATTCTCCATGATTTGCGTCCGTGCTACTTTTTATATTCTCATCTAATTTTTATCTCTAATTATCAGAGCCATTCTCTTTTTCGTTAAAAATTTATTTAACAATTATCAAGTCTAATTTCAAATGTTCAATTTTTATTGACAGAATAGTTCACAAGAATACAATGAAATATTTATGTTTTCAATAAAATGTGTTTTGAATTATTTCTAATGTGCAATCAGAAACAGATCTAAAGCTTGAGAAAGCCTATAGAAAGCTTCTTTATTCACCTATAAATGGAAATGAGAAGTTGAAAGCTGTCATTATATAGCTTGAAACCTCTAAAGAGAAATTTGATATCTTGTTTGATAAAAAGTGTCCGCTTTTGGCAGTATTTTTCTTATTCTTTGTCAAAGAATCAGAGTTGGGTAAGTTAAATCAATTTCGATATTTGTTCTCCTTTTATAACAGGAATTGGTCATCTCTTGATAAGATATGGTTTAAATTTAGATGAATGCAAAGAATTTTGTGATAAATTTTCTTTTTGCGAGTATGAATTAACATTGTATTCTTTTGGGTTTTTTATAAAGTCAACGACAGGTATGTTGGCACACCTCGAATTTTGATAGGCGAAATATTAATAATCTTTTTCATTATGAAAAAAGATTATTATTTTTATTTTCTCAGTCTTAAATTATAGATTAAACCTGAAATATTATATAAGTTTCTTTCAGAAAGCATTTAGGTAAGTTTTTACATATTTTTTTTTTTATAAAAATTACTATTATTTTACAATTTTTTTTTCTTATTTGGCCAAACGACATGTTTATTGGCACATAATCTTTTGAGTTCTTCTATAACAGGAAGAACATCTTCCACAATGAAGGAGCTATAAATTTCTGCATTTAATCTTTTCTTTATCCTCCATACTTCGAATATGCTGTCAGATGTGATCAACCCCCAGACCAATACTCCGCCTCTTCCCATATTTTTCGTCACCCTAAAGTCCTCTTGGCTATTGTTGGTCCAGGTCCTAAAGTCATCAGGTCCACTTAGTGAGAATCTAGCCTCGTCTGTGAAAATTACTCTAGACCAGTCTAGATTATCACTAATCATTTTGAGGCAATATTCTTTTCGCCAGTTACAATCTTTAGAGGTGAGACCTGTTCTTTGCCTGATTCTTTGGTATTTGAAATTTTGCCTTTTTAGCTCCCTCTGAATGGTTCTAACGCTTACATCTACTTCTAATTCTTTCAAAACCTTTGCTGCTGCCACCCTTTCATTATTATCTTTCAGCTTCTTGATGATCCTTTTCATCCTGGCTATCTCTCTGTCTGAAAGCTTCTTTGGACCGCCCCTATTGTCTTGCTCTGGCTCTTTATAGTTGATGATGTTTCTTACTGATGATGATGCCATTCCTAAAACCCTTGCCGTGGCCCTTAATTTCCCTATTTCTGCATATTTTCTGACTACGAGCTCTCTAATATCTTTACTCCACACCATTATTAAAAAAAGTACTATAACTATAATATACAGTAATTGAAAAAGTCTATAACTAAGAAACTTAACTTAAAAAAGCAAATAAGTTGAAAAAAAGCTGTTTGAGATGTCTATTTGAATGCCAAACCTGATGTCAAGGAAGTGTGCCAATAATCGTGTCATTTGGCCAAATAAGGAAAGAACTTATGAAAATTCCTAGAAATATTTGGCTAATAATATTTACAAAATATGATGATTTTGTCAAATTTTCTGTAATATTATGTAAATATAACTCTTTTTCTATATAAATTTAGACAAAAAAAAATACTTTACTGCGAACAAACATTTTTAACCGTTAATTACAAATTGGCCTATCAGAATTCGGGGTGTGCCTATATACATGTCGTCTACTTTATTTATATAATTTTAATCACAGAGCATTTGTCATTTTTTCCCCAAGGCGCCAGTTGTAAGTTATCAGTGGCTTTCTGACAGTCAAGCTAAAATAATTTAATTTGTGTAAATACACAAACTGTCTTAGTAAATGAAATTTTATTGAAAATTCATCAAAAGGCTACTTAGAGAAAAATACGAAAACTACTTTGACAGAATATATTCCGAAAATAAGGGGCCGACAGTAAACGTCCCCAAGTAAGATTTTTGAAAGCAACATTTCGGATTGAAAAATGGCTAGAACAAGTAAAATGACTATTGATTTGTAGTTAGGGGAGTTCTATCTAAGGGTTAGGGGTAATTAAAGAGGTCAGGGAAAGATAGGGCCTAGGATAGGGTTAGGGTTAAACCATGCATTTGGTGACCTGGAAATAATCAGATGATATTGCTGCTGGGTTTATGTATGAACAATTTTGAAATTATTACAGTATTAGTACGATCGTTGTGTTTATAAACTGAAGAAAAGAAAAGAAAAAAAATATCAATTCTGTTGTCACGAATTTCATGAATCAGTCATTAAAAGTATTTTATATATTATTATATTTTTATTACATTTGCATTTTTATAGAAAACACTGCTTAATGTAATATTTAATATCAAATTTCAAAACAAGATTTTATGCCTATAGCTCATTAAGATGGAACATGTTCATATCAATCTTTTTGAGACATTTCAAATAGTTGTATGAAATCAGGAAATGAAAAATGATCTGAAAGCACAGGAACCAAATAGAATATAACAGAAAACATCCCCAACTGGGACAGAAGTTGCCCAAACCAGAGACAGAAATTGGCCATAGGATTTCTAGTAAAAAGTATTAGAAAAATACATATTCCTTTAGGAAGTTATGCTTATTATGCGCTTAGATATATCTGCATTGCTTGTTAATACACTTTATTTATTTATTGACTACTATTCATAAATATAAACTGAACAATTTTTTCACAATACTTTCCTCTATCGAGAAAGTGGCATCTGATTTGATATTTTAGCTATAGAGCATAGATTTCATATATACTTTTCTTTATTATCATCTATGCTTGATAACTGTCATAATAACCCTTACGAACAAGCCTATCGTTCCCAAAGCTATTCCCACAATAATAGCAGCAATCGCCAGGTACTTTGCCACTTGTGCTTTCATTCTCGCTTCTTCAAGATAGCCAAAGTCTCTTGCTCTTCTGCTTGCAATACTCTTTACAAGTGACGCTATTCCAAGGCAAAAACAGAATACCAGCGCAATGATACTTAGAACCTTATGATACGAAGAAAAAATGCATACAAAAAAGAAGTTATATTGTATATTGTTTCCATTGTATCTGGCAAATATGGTCTCTGAACAATCAAATGACTAGGATGCTGGACATAAAGTTGCGTTGCCGGCGCATTCGATGTTGGTTGAAATAAAGATATTCCAACTATATGAGAATCGGGCTGAGAGTTTGGAATTATCTATAATAAATTATTCTCATTAGTTTTTGTATATTAAAATAATAATTTTCCAATTTTACGCTATCATATGCATTAGAAAATATATGCTCCCGGGGTTGTTGCTCATTTATAGACTTATAAGGAGGTGGTAGATCCTTTACTTCACTTGTTGATTGTTCCATTCTTTTTTCTGCAAAAGAAATTATTGCAAAAATAAGGTAATATTAGGTCAAGGAAACACTACCATTTAATAATTCAAGAAATTCTGTAAGAATTGGGAAGAGATATGCTTTAGACATGTTTACCTGGCCATAAAGCAACACCCAATCCAAATAAATAGAAAGCCTTTCTCCCTACTTCAAAAATACATAGCCAGCTGGATAAAAAACATTCTAACAGGACTAATGTCAGAATACAAAATCAAGTCTGCGACAGAAAACGTCCACAAATTCCTGCTTTTGCTAACCCTGTACATAGCCTTTCCAATACCCCTAACTCTAGGAGGAGACCTTTACGATTTTATTGAAAATTTAATGACTGCTGATAAATTGTCTAACTCATATGTCAGAAACATAACAAAATATAATAAAGGGAGCAACTATTATTTCATGTCAATAAATTCTCCATGGAGTGGGTAAACAATAATATTACAGTACTATTTTACAAACAGCGACATTTAGTTTCCTTGGAGATAGATACGTTTTGGACTAGAAGAATTAGTAGACTCAATAAAAACCATCATACTGCAAGTTACAACAATGCCGATTGTACAGTTATAATTTTAAATTTGAATGTTTATTCAAAAAAGTAAAAGTAAAAATAGTGTATTTATGAAGATTTAAGAGATAAAAAAAACAGACTAATTCTTTGACAATTGTTTCAAAATAGAAATTCTTTTCTGAAGAGATTTTCTAACAAATATTCCGAAAATTAATATATCGTTTCTCAGTCTTTTATCCGTTATTGCTTGATGTTTTTCCACCTAAAAGAAACATACAATAGTTGAGGAGAAGCTATTGATTAAAGGAAAACAAATCAAGACAAATTAGTCAAATGATTACCTAATAGTTTTCATTCATTTATATGTATTTCTCTTATTCTATATAGTCATACTAGATATCTTATAACTAAGAAAAGTAATGAGCAGAGAAGGGGAGAGTATTTCATGTAATAGTATAGCTTGGAAATTTCCATGGACTCTTGCAAAGCAGGCCTATTTCTTTTTGATCATTTATAACTGCTAGGAAACACTTAAAGTCTCCCTACTATTTTCTTTTAAGTATATAGGCCTATTGAATTTGTATAACATACTAAATAAAAGTCAAGAAATTCTACAATTACTTCTCTAGTTTGTCTTTTAATAATAGTATATTTTCAATAAATTGAAAATTGTTTCAAAAACTTTTACAGTGTCCATAAAGAAATGAAAAAAAAAACTTCACATCAGCAAATATCAAGAAAGAACAAAGATTTAAAATATATGAATAGATAATGCAGATTTGTATAGAAAAGAACTGTAAACTTCAAGGGTAGTACTCAATTTTTTACACTGAAATATCAAGACACCAATATCTATTGGATTGTTGATACATGTATTGAAATTGTTATTTTGATTACTATGTCTTGAGATAACAATTATATCTTTATGATGCGTGGATCCAATAATGACTACATGATATTGTTCATTCTCATCCTTTTCAATATTAATTAGGTCAAGTTCTATTCTATAAAAATTGTGGCGACACTTTAAATTTCCCACTGCAAATATTGAAAAATTAAAATTATTTAATTAGACTCTTTCCGTTGGTTAAAATCTATTGTTACCACTATAAGATAACTTTGGAACAGCTTGTAAGTCAATTTCAGAAATTGTTTGACTATTTTGCCCAATAAGTCTTACCAGTTTTGTTATTACAAACTCAAACCTACAACAAACTGTATGAACATATTTAAAATTGCCATTTGTTGAAGTAGAAACAAGAGTTTTTGTTACAAAATTTTCGACTTCTATTAGGATATCGTTGGTCAATTGGTGAGCATGGTAAACTGGTAGAAAAATATACATTACAATAAATTAATAATAGAATTATTATTTTAACCTGTTAAACAGATTGAATTTAAAGTGGAAGTCTCCATTGCAATTTCTAGACGTTCAGCTTGCCTTAGTAATTGTAAACCAGGCCCATTTGATGGATGATATACATCATCATTCATGTATTGAACAATTTTGCTAACACCATTGAGTGTCATTGATTCAATATTACTTTTGCTGTTGAACTCTGGAATAAAGGAAAGATATGATATGCTCTTTTTAAAAAATGAATGTAAAGATCAAACTAAAAATTGATTACCTGCTAAATTGAAATCTTTACGTTGAGCAGTGTAAATGAAAATTTCGTTTAGTTTGAATGCATTTTCATTATTAGTGAAATTATATTTTAGTATATTTATATATCTTCCGGTGTGAGTTTCATTACATAATATCCCAGCCAATTGATACTGCAAAATATCTTCATTACGATAGTTTCGAATACAAAATTTCAGATTTTGATGAAACATCGTTTCCGGTATAAGACTGACTGCAACGTAGATATCTTCGAATTTATCTCGGGGTATAATATCTGCAAAATAAATGATTTCCTTTTCGTATAGATACTATCTCAGATAAAACATTCAACTTTATTTTTCTCCAACAAAATGACAAATAACCCGACAACTGTATGAAAACCTTTTGTATCAATGAGTAAATATGGTGTAGAATATGAATAAGGTAGCGTCTTTGAATGGAATATAGTTGTATAATTCTTATCAATTGCATTCTTGCCACCATTATCAACATCATTGTTGTCGTTAACACCGTATCTTAATTCTAAATGCTCACTTTGCAGTAAATGTTCAACTATTTAAAAGAGATAATGATATTTAAATAAATACCATGGCAACCAAACACTTTACCTTTTTCATCAAAAAATTTTCCCTCAATATACACATCACAAATTGTTAATGATATATTTGAAGTTTGATGTGAAATCCGAACTAAATAGCCATTTAAATTCTCTGGGCAATTATAACAATTATACTGCGAAAAATCAGTAGTAGTTGGCTGTTTTACGGCTAAAGAAACAGTTTGGCAGAGTTTTAGAGGACCATCTATCGAATCATGAACAGTAATTTCCAGATTGTTCAAAAGATAATCTGAAAAATATCTTTTGAATTTAAAAATTATTTATTTAAATTTACAAACAAGATGGAGAATTAATGTTTAGAAGGCAAACTTTCTCAATTGTATATACATTTTCAAGGTCAACCATCCACCATTGTTTTGAAGTGACACTAATGTCAGTTTTTGAGCATTTTTCATCCTATTTTAACAAACAAAACATTTCTTATTAAATACATTTTCAAAATATGTAAAATACTGGCAGCTGTATTGGAAATCTCAATATGATCATCATTTGCATATTCCGGTACAAATGCAGTACCAAACAGCGACACTGCAGTAGAACTCTGGAAAGCTGGTTTATTTCTGGCCAAATTTGAAATTGTGCTTCTAATTTGAATATCTAATTAAAGAAGAAATGTTAAAAAAATAGAACAAATGACGAACTTGACAAACTAACGAAATAATATAAAAAGAGTGATAATTTGAATAATGTTCATCATAGTTTGAATAGAAAGATAACCCTGATATTATTACAAAGGAGAAGTGAATTATGTCACAGAGATATTCACTTTATATTACATTTAACAAATATTATACAGTTGCTAATTACATTCATAACAATTCTTTGAAAGGTCCTTTTCTCTTTATCATTAAAAAGGCTACTGTAAATATTTTAAATGTTTTCCACTTATTTCCAGTTTAAATATTAATTTCTACGCTGAATAGGAAATACTGAACAATTTAATACACTACTTTACAATGGAAAACTATAGTCAGCATATCAATTTTTCATTGAAACTGGAATTATAAATTTTCCAGTTTATTCATTATGTGTTTGAAATTCACATTAGAATGAATTGTTTATATAAAACATTTTTCATAATGTTCACTTATAAAAGACTTTATAAAGTTCTTCCATTATAGTTGCCACAAAAGTTATTCTAAAGTTCATTTATATCTAAAGTCTAGATATCAATATGTCATTATGTCTATTTATCAATTTTTGTGGTACAATTGAATTTTTATGCTCAAAAGATCAAATTTGTATTAATGAGATTCACATTTGCGATGGAAAATATGATTGTCTATCAAAGGAAGATGAAGAGAATTGCTATTTTTCTTACTATTTTTTTGTTTTTTTACCAACTGCAATGAATTGTTTAAAGACTGCAATCAAACTAGTCCATTTTACTTAATTATCAATTAATCAAAATTTCCCTAATATCGTCCTTTCAAATTTAACTAGAACAGAATTAGTATCAAAAATAGATTATATAATTTATGGAAACTTTCAATTATTGCAATATTTCATTTTGTCTAAAAGTTCATTTAGTCAATTGGATGATTTGAATTTTTCGAATATTTCACATACTACTTTTTCTGGACGTGTCCGGTACGAAAATTGATAAAATCTCTTCCTCTTCACTGATTGGCTTAAATAATTTGGAGATTTTAATTATGGCGAATTGCCACTGGAAATCAATTCATAATTTTTCGTTTAAACCATTAAAGAGCCTAAAAGAATTCCATTTTAATCATTCAATTCTACCGAAAAAAACTGCTGTAATCTATCTAGATTTTTTGAGAAAAGTTGAAAAATCGTTTACCAGTTGTTATAAATTCTGTTGCATATTTTGGCAATTGGGAAATATTAGTGAATGAGTTCCGAATAAATCATTATTCAGTTCTTGTAGTGATCTTCTTTCGTCATCATTCCAAAGGGTTTTCCTATGGATTTTTGGTTTTGTAGGATTTTTCAGTAATATTTTTAAACTAGTCAAGAGACTATGCTCTGTGAGGACGTTATGAAATATTTCCTTTATCTATTTATCAATAGCTGACCTACTTATTAATCTATATTTAATCGTCATTGGATTGGTGGATTTACACTATAGAGGGAATTTTATTGGAAATTCATCCTGTCTTGTTCTAGTTTTATATATATAAATATTCTTTAAAGTTTATGAATCAAGACAATTTTTAGATAAAAAACAATTCAAAGCTAGAAAAACTAAACTGGCTCTAAATTCTTCTATTATCATTGCTACTAACTTTCTCTCTTGGTTTCCTCTTTCCTTTATAATTTAGGTTCAATAGTCTAGGGACAAAAGGTCAAAGTCAATAGAGAGACAAAAATGTTTCATTTCTTTTGTAGGCAGCTACAATGATGACTAATTTCCAAATAAAAAAAGAGATTTACAGTTAAACTCCCTACTAAATCCATTTATATATTCATTTGGCAGAAAATTCAATTATCACTCATTCAAGCCAAAAAGTGAAAATGATGAATTGTATAAAAAAGAAACTATTCAAAATATTCAATTGTTATTCTTAATATTCAATTATTTCTTTTTTATTTTTCATGACAAACTCAACTAATTCACATAACAAAATTGAGTTTTCAAAATTGTTTCAATATTCACAAATTTTATTCATAATCACACAAATAGAAGGAGAAAGTCTATTAGTTAATTGGTAAAGATGATACCAGTTTATTTCAATTAGCAGTTGTTTTAAACAAAGAAGGTGAAAGAGAAGATATCTACCAATTTGCAATACATATAAAAAAAATTTTTTTTTGAAATATAAAATAAATTATTCCTATTTTCGTTCGGTTTTATATTTTTGTACTTTGTTGTATTGTAATTGTAGGAATTTCTGGTTCGTCACAACTGTAATCGTCCTTTCCAATCATTTACCAATTTGCCAAAGTACTCAAACAAATAGAACCTTTAAAGTTCGTCCACAAATAGTCTAACAAATGCAATTTTGGTAGAAATGAATCAACAAAACACGAGTATTTCGTGCAAAGAATATGTATTGAGTAAAATGAGTTTCTAGTTCTAAACAAGCTAGTTTAAACAACTAGCTGACGGTTAGAAAACTGAACTATCAACTGTTAATTTCAAAGGGTTTATATACTCTTTTAAGGGTTGATAGTTCACAAATTTCAATGTTTATAAAAACAAAAGTAACATTTGAAGACAAAGAAAAGTTGTAAATATGGTCATGTTTTTATTGTTTTCCTCTTCTAAATAATAGTTGAATTTTGAAGGTTGGAGAGTTGCATAAGATGTAACAATTTTAATAGGACAACTCCAACAATGAAGAAAACATGTAGATTGTATATTTGACCATTTTTATATTCTACCTTAAAAATGATATTCAATTGATTGAGTTAGTAAATTTAGCATCAGCATATAGGGAGGAAGCATATCTGATTAACCCATGTTAATGAATATAATCTAAACTTAGAATTGAAGCATAATTGATAATTAATTGAACTAGTTTTAGTTGAAAATCATAAATGTATGGATTAATAAATTGTAATATTAATGCTAGGTTGCAAATAACAATATTCTTTATATAATTTAATAGGTTTTATTGCTGGTTAATGTGTATGCACTGCCCTACGCGAAACTAGGTCACTACTGCTTATCTTTATCAGTGCTATCTGCATAGTACAATACTGGTTCAATACTACTTCTCTATTGTAGAGTAGAGTATAGCTGACGAATATATGTGTACAACAGTCTTTACCTAAACATCAACTTCAACTCTAAGTTAACAGTTCTCAGCTCTTACTCAACTAATTTTAGGTCTGTTTTAATCTCATGTTTCAACTAATTTAATTCCTTGTCAATTTTTGCTTTTTTTAAAAAATATCTTACATCATATAACTCTCAATCTGCAATAGATATTTGAAATCAATCAAAGGATATCATTAGGCCTATATTATACCAACATACTTACAAAAAAATACTGTCTATCTCAACTACTTCAAACATTGATAAAGTGGTTCTTTTTACCGTTACATTCTAATAGATCTTAATTTTGTAGGTTTTATTTTATTAATAGACACTCACTGAGTTCTAAGGGCAAAAACACCAGAGTTAATATTTGAGTTTGAACACAATGATGACATATAGCTTAAAATGTAGCAGACTTTTCTCATACATATTTTAAGTGTCAGGCTCATTATCACCACTTTATATACTTCATTGAACGGTTGTAATAATGGAAATTTGTAACATAATCAGTTGTCAAAAGTGAATAAGTTGAAAGAAGAAGAAGAAGACTAAGAGGAGGAGAATTGATCCTAATCCTTCTCATAACAATAAATAGCTTAGTAGTCTGTCGAATATGATAGATTTCTGACAACTTTTTATTTTTGGGTTAGGGTGCAATCTGCATTATTTATATTTCCTAACCCCAAAATTGGTAGGCCTTCTAACCCTAAATCCATCACAAATTTCCAAACTAAACCTTTTTCCTGTAAACTTTAATGTAAAAAATTATTGAAGAAAAGTAATGGGAAAAAAAAGGAAACAAAAAATTACATTATAATCTCTGTTGATGATTTTTTTTCCTTTAGTATGAAATGTATATTTGTTCTTAGGCTAAAAATATCCTTAGCATCGTCATTCGATCAATAATGCACATTAAAACACAATGGTACTTAGCTACAGGTAAACAAGGTCGAAGAAAAAATGTGTATTTATGCATAAATCATTCATTAAGTCATTCATTCAACTATCCACCCATTGAAGGATCAACATGAATAATACAATTATCTGGAATCCGGTATTAAATCATCCAGTTTCAAATCCATTTAGGTCAATCATAGTTGGCATTCCAGCAATTTTATCATTCCTTTCAACTACAGTGGCTTTAACAATTTTACCAGTTGTTGAAAAGATACCTCAGATAACAAAAATCTTGTTAATCAATGTATCAATTGCTGACTTTTTTATGTCAATTGTATCAATACTATCTTCATTTGTATCATCATTGTTTGGAAAGTACATACTTGGATATATCTTTTGTCAAATTAGTGGAGCAATTTTAGCAACAAGTGGAATGATGTCTTTATGGAGTGTGACAATTATTGCTTTTGATAGATACGTCGCAGTAATATATTTCGATAAGTAAATATATTTGATTACAAACTATATAGTAGGCCTTTCAAAACCCCCTTTTTTTTCCCAGGTATAAAAGACTGATAACGGGAAAAAGAATTATAATTTTAGTTATATTTTCATGGATATTCTTTATTAGTTTTTCTTCTTTACCTTTTCTAGATCAACCTCAATTTGAAGTTTACGTACTTTTACTACCGGAACTAGTATGTTCCCAAAATCTAGTATTAAGTTTACATATATTTTGGTATGTTTTTACTGGACCAATATTTACATCAATAATTCTATTCTTTTCAACATTTAAAACAATATTCTATTTAAAGAAGAAAAATTCGCAAATCAATGCTGAAAATCAAAAACTGGTAAGAACAACTTCAAAAAGGAATTTAAGAATACTTAAACTATTAATTCTAACAATTTTACTATTTTACCTTTTCTGGATTCCATTTAGTATTTCCACGGTTGGAAGTATATTTAGTGATGAATTTAAAAATAAAACTTTTATTTATAGATTTTATTTATTATGGTTTGCAGTTCTCAACAGTTTTTTCAATTCTTTGCTTTATATTTTTATATTTCCTAGTTTTAGGAGAAAACTTGTCAACATTTTATCATTGAAAATTCTTTATAAAAAAAGCAACCCTCAAAGCAGCAATAACAATACAATTGCAGATTCTTCTTGTTGAAAAGATTAGTACTATTATTATTGTTATAATACACCTTTCCCTATATAATCACATATTAATTAATTACTTCTATAATAAAAATACCATAATCAATCAATCAATCATAACAAATTAAAGATTTGACAATAAAGGAGTTGAAGAATATCTTGTGCAGATAGAATGAAAAGACTATTTTTTGGCATTAAAGTTTCCAATTGACAATTAAACTTGTAAAGAATTACAATTTTTGTTTGTTTTTCTATGTTCAATAAGAATGAAAATGTAATTTGTTTTCATATTGCAGTCTTTTAAAAATAAATTTCTTTCATTCCTACTTATAATTATGCTTCTAACCCTAACCCTAACCCCAACCCCAAACCCACACACTTGTATACTTAAAACCCTTATGAAGGATAGTAAGAAAAAAATAATTTCATTTTTCTACCGGAAATTGGGTAATTTTCAATTTTTCAAGCTCAGCCACTTACTCAATCAAAAGAGCTACATGATCATGTAGCATATCATTGAAAAGCTCTTTTCTAGCCTTATTACCTCCAATTGAAATGAACTGTCTGGGGTGATGCATAACGAAACTTCTAAACAGTGCAGATTCTAGACAATTTTGCCATATCATTGTTTTCTCTAGACAAATAGCAACTCAATGATATATATATATTTATATATTCTTTGGATAGTGTGTAAGATAAGGTCTGTAGGCCTATGTCAAACCACTAGCTTCCTATATGAAAGATCTTTGTAGTGTGTCAAGCACTTGTACTGGTCTCCTTATTTTGTCAATAGGTTATACTTGTGATGATTGCGAAACCAGATGGAACCTTCTGCTGGGGAACACTTGCTCACAACCAACTGTCAATCACCCGTTCTCAGCAAAGAGATGTCTCGCCACAAATTCCCTTATTTTATTGACTTTTCTTATGAACAGTTTATGTTCATCAACACTCCCCAATTGTCTCTGCTTGTTGAAGGTATAGGTTCTATATCAGGTTTGAGTTGTGGTTGTTGTTAGATTCGCCGTCATTTTATCAATTTGGACTACATCTTAGGGTTAGGATTTTAAAAGAACCAGAGGTGATCTTCTGTTGGAGAACCTTTGTTCACAATCAACTACCACCATCTGTTCCCCATCAAAAAGGGTGTTTCCTGTAGCAACATGTTGTTCTAACAACAATAATGCATCATAAATAATTTGCTAATGACTGTAATAATCTGAATTACAGGCCAAGATTAATTAGGTAATTGTGGCAATTGTTTTACATGATTAAGCCTACAGCATAGGCTTAGTTTCTAAGAGTTGAAATAATAAAAGTGGGTTAGCAAGAGTGCAATAATTGTCTGCTAATTACAGTTTTCAGGATTGCTAGGCCATGACAAGAATAATCTCTTACTTTTTCTGAATATATCAGACTCATTTGGAGTGAGATGAAGGTTTTTTCTATCTATTTTGTTACCAACAGTATTCTTTTAATAAAACTACTAATATACAAAACTCAAGGGAAAGTTGTAGGTGATTTTTATGTCAATTTTATTAAATGGAGTGGAAATTTTTATAATTCACAAGGAAATATTTGTGATGGACCATTTGCATTTGGTAAAAAGAAAATGTGTGATCCTATGTTTCAAGTTTGCTTCTCTAAACTACCTGGAAGGTAAAATAGTTAATTTTTGAAATTTTAACATTTTAACTAAAACAAAACAAAAATTCTAAATTAAAAAACAGGGTGGAATTTTTGTAGATATATTTGTTTATGATCATGATGATTTCAGTGATGATGATTCAATTGATGAATTTCACTTTGATTTAAAAACAACAATAAATGGAGAAAAGAGGAAATTATCAGTTCAGGGGAAATATTATTATAATACGGAAAATGTAATTACATTAGAATTTTGGGCTAAATGCCGAAGAAATATTTATAATTCAGATTGTTCCATCTTTTGCCTAAAAGAATTTAAAAGTAATTTTGAATGTGATAAAAAAACTGGTAAGAAATTATGCCATTCTGGCTGGTTTGGTGAAAATTGCGAAAGAAGAGAATGTAAATCAAATCCATGTTTAAATGGAGGAAGTTGTTATGAAACACAAAATTCAATGCAGGAATGCAAATGCAGAAATCAATATTCTGGTCAATTGAACCAAGAATGAAATATTCGCAGTTGCTATTTTCTTTACATTTTTGAAGGCAATCTTTAAAATGTTCATTTCCGGTATACAGAGGACTCTCGGTACATTCTCCTTGTTCACAGGTGGTATGGCTAAAAGCAAATCTATCGTAGGATAGCATATTTGGAAAATTGCTAGGGGCAGTTGTTGTAAAGAATGATTTACTTTTTGGAAAGCAGTATCTTCCAGCATAGATTGTTTCTGTCATTGTGAATCCCATACAGTTCGGCCTTTCTAAACAGTGTTTTGCACAATCTTTAGGGTGTGTTATACTGCTTGGCACAATAGCTAGATCAAAATTTTGCAACATTTTGTGTCTGTAAGTGAAACCAGGTACACTTAACTTTGGTCTGTAGCAGCCATATCCAGCTTCAAAACAACAAAAATGTTCACTATTTCCAGCAGTACATTCATCTAGGGTTATAGCACTATTTCCTATCCGGATTCGTTTATCAACAGTAATGTCGCATTCCTCCGAAATAACAATATTACAACTGGAAAGGTGTAAAATATAACCAAAATAGAGAATCTTGTATATTGTCATTGTTCGTGTTGAGACCCTGCTCATTTGATCAATGATTAATAAATTCTACATAGAAACTCATATTGGTTGCCTTACCAATACACTCTGCTAAATCTCTTTCAATAAATCATTGAAATTTATTGACGATTACTGTAGATAGAATTTTTTTATAATTCGGAACTGGTTACCCTACTATTTGAAATTTTGCTCACACCTAGAAAGCTAGATCAAGGGCTGGGGTTAGGGTAAAATGTTACAATTGTGGGCGTTTGATCAAAAACATCCATCCATTAAATTCTTATATACTCTTTACAATAGATGACAGTTGGCAAGGGGATTAGGTCCAGCTTCTATTAGAAGATTAACTGTTTGTTTGTCTTGATAAGAGTGAACTGTTCAAGATTTTGATAAACAATAGTAAATTGGCACATAGTAAAACATTTTATTGATGATGGATCAAGTTAAATTTGAAGGCTGAAAGATTTTAATTTGAGTACAAACTAAACTCTAAGCTTTCTTTCAACTTTTCCTACTTTTGGACAGATAATCGTCAACGGAAAAAGGAAATAGAGCATCATCTATATTGAGAAACCAACACTTGACCCCATTTCTAGTAATTATTTGAGATGTCAGCAGTTTTGAATCAATTGCTACACACTTGTCTGTTTCTTATTGTTCTAAGGACAAACAAACATGAGCTAGGTGAGTTCACGACTGTAAAGTGATGATTGGACAGTAGAGAAATGTCTACAATTATATAAACCCTTACTGTTCCACTCCACCTGGGAGGATCAACTGGAACCAACATCCACTAGAGACCTTTCTACTTACTCAACATTGAACAGTAGTTCAACAATAGGAAAGTTTAATAGCAGAGTAGGTAGTACCCTGGGTAACAGTAGGTTGCCAGAACTAGTGTCCAATGTTGAGTAAGAAAAAAGAACTCAACACAAACGATATATTTAAATAATGAATATAGGCCTACCGCTTCTATATTAAACTGAGTTGTAAACTGCCAAAGAATACTGTACTTTGTTGTATTGTAATTGTAGGAATTTCTGCTTCTCCAGAACTTAATTTGTTCTCCAATTGTTTAGGGATTGGAATAAAGTTCAAACCAGCTCTCTTCATATTTCTTTCAATATAACTTGTAAAGAAATTGTTTGGCAGAAATATCTTCTCAAGTTCAATTGGTTGAGTGAGGACTTTTCCAGAAGAAAAATGAGACTTATTTTTGCTGATGAGGCAGGGCCGTTTGCTGTGGCACATGTTTAGCATGTGGCACTAATCTTAGGATTATATTTTATATGTGTGATATAACAAGTCCTTCATATTTTTGTTACATGAGAATTATGAGACCATCAGATTTCAACTTTGTAATCCTTTAACCAATTGAAACCAAGCTTTGGGAAATGTAGAAAAGGAAATGCATTTCCCCCAGCTTATTTATCTAAACCTTTTTAATAAATATTTAAAAAAACAAAATTTTCTTTTTCAAAATCTGACATGCCAATTAGTTTGAGGAAAGAATTGTCACTTTTTTTTCCAATTATACTGCTATAATCCCCCAATATAAACTTTTAGGCTTCATAAAGTCTTATTGAAAAATAGAATGTTGTGACTCATTCAACTATTGATTGATTGTTAATAGACCTAAACTGCTTGCTACTGCTGTGCAACAGCTGGTTTTAGTTTATAATTATAATCTCAATGAAAAATTTGTATATGTTTTTCAGTTGAGAACGATAACCATACTTGTTTGTTTCCATACAATTATTAATATTTTTCTTCCTTAGCAGATGATTAAATTATGGAAGGAATGAAATTTGAGACAAATCCCATACTTAATCAATATAGAAATTCATTTGAGGAGCTTTTAAATGAACCAGAATTCGTAAATAACCTCATTTCAAAGGAAATCATACTATCTAATCATAATTATAACTCTACAAATCTGGTCAATAATCATTTAATAAAATGTAAACTGGTAGATATTCTAAATGTTTTATTAGATTTCCAATCACCTGGCTATCAGAGACTTTTTTGGAATATAAAATCAACTTGGAAGAATTTAGTTGAAGAAATGAAAAAGTTAACTCTTCAGAGGATATCTACTCTTCCAAAAATTCCATTTATTAATGATAAAACAAATCTTGATAGCATTGACAATATCATGACTCCAATAAAGATTGTCTACGAAAGTAAACAATGTAGTAGGGAGAAATGTATCCTAACCTGTGGAAATGAATTTATGGAAGGATTGGAAAATTCCAATAGAGTTTTTATCTTTGGTGAAGCTGGAATTGGAAAAACTTATCATTGTTACAAGATTTTAAACGATTGGGCTTGCGGTTTGATATGTCAGGATAGTTTGCTGTTGTCCATTAAACTGGGACAAATTTCTAAATCCGAAACATTTACAGACGTCATCTTCAATCACAATCTTGTAGACAATATAAATATTCAAAGAGATATCCTAGATTACTACCTGTCCGAAGAGTGCGAAGATAAGGCCAGGAAGATAGTCTTTCTACTAGATGGAGCTGATGAATTAGGAATAAAAGAGTCTAGATTTTATAAAATTATACATAAAATTCATTATACTCCCCACGCAGTCGTTGTTTGGTCGAGAACTTACAAACTGGAAGAGGTTAGGAAAACCTATGATACTCTTCTAGAGATCATTGGATTTGGCAATGAACAAAAGTTTACATTCTTTCAAAAATTCTTTAACGAGGTTAACATCAACAATGAGCCAGTGATTTGCCAACAGACGAGACGATGTCGATATCTATTCTGGCGATGACAAACAACAAACACTACAAAGTGTTGAGTTGTTCAACTTTTTGAAAGTGGATAGGCAAGATTTATTGGAATTCTGTCAATATCCTCTAATCGCTGTCCTAACGGCAGCCGTTTGGGAGAGGAGAGGAAAATCTATAAAAGACTTTTACAATATTTCTGAAGACGTTGTTGATATTCTCTTCCAAAAGATAAACATTTCAAAAGATAATCCAAACTACGAAATATTCTACAAAGAATTCGGATTGAAATCTTTCAACAATCTATCGAACGGCGAACCAATGACAACAACTCAACAATTCCTCCATTCTACAAACAATCTAGCAGGTCTAATTACAACAACCAGCTACTCTTATTCGCGATGCGAAGAAGAGATATCATTTAGATTTATTCATCATCTCTTTCAGGAATATTTCGCGGCAAAGTATTTGATCTACGACCTTCTTAACGAACAGAAAAGTAGACAGCACCTTTTGTTGAAAATTTCAACAGAAATTCTAATCTAACAAAATTAACTATTGAAAATGTTGAATTGGAGTTGAATTTTTTCTTTGAAACTCTCTCCAAATATCGACCGCAAAGTTTACATCACCTTCAAATAATCAATCGAATTAACGGCTACATTATGTCAATTGAAAATTTTCAATTAATATTCTCAAGTTTACCAAAACTTACTACTCTTTACCTGGAAAATGTTGTAATAAAACATAATGACAATCACCTAATTTTTGTTGACAAACTTTGCCATTTGCATTTCATTGGAACGGATTAGGGTTTTGGAGCAAAATGCATTGCTGAATTTTACAAATTTACAAACTTTGGATTTCTCCTATTCCAGACAAATTGGTATAGTAGTTTTAAAATTACTTTTGTTCACTTAGAAGTAACCAACCTTGTTCTTAGGATTAGTGTTAGGGAGAAGATAAATGTATCATTGGTGTGATTTAATATTCACTGACAGTACCTTTCTGTTTCAGATAGACAACTGTTTTATTAACTTAAAAACAACTAAACTTTTTAACTTCGTTTCTCTTCTGTTATGCTAATCTGAATTGTATAAACATTTCTGATATAATTGATATTCTACTGGATAAACAACAAGTAACAGAAATTGGCCTATCAGATTTTTCTTTCTCTAATGACTGTTTTAAAAAATTCCTAAATTTTCTTACCACAAGTATTAAAGACACGACTGTCTTAAAATTAAATGATTGTAACATATGCATTGACGACAAAATATTTTATACATTCTTAGTGAAACATAAAAATCTTCAAGTTTTTGAATTATTTGGGAATTCATTAAGTAAAGAGTTGAGAATGAATTTTTTAACGTCATTATTACAGTTAGAAAATTGGACACATTAAAACTTCCAGTATTCATTGTGAACAAGGAGGAAGAAGAGGAGTATGCTTGCATAAATATTGATTTAAAAGTAGAATTTTCTCTATCTCATTTCAATTTTGGTAAAAATGATTTAAGTTTCGTATTCAATCAAAAAATTTTGAAAATTTTATTAAAATCCTCGCCGAAATTAAAAGATTTAGATTTATCTTGTTGCAATATTCAATGGGAAAATAATTCAAATTCCATAGAATCTTTCCTTTCAAATAGCTTTGACTGCCTTAGAAAATTAAATATTTCTTCAAATTATTCAATTACAAAGTCATTTTATGAATTGTTATATTTTGGCAAACAACCAACTACTTCATCTCATTCTTCTTATCAACTAATGCTCATTAATAATCTTGGATCAATTGAAACTAAATTATTCTACTACATTCTTAAAACAATTTAGAATTGATTGTATTGATTTTGCATCTATGAATTTTTTAGATGATGTTCCCTTGAAATATGAAATAGAAATCTATCCAAATCAGTTCCTAAGGGCAATAATCTTATCATATTGTCACCTTTTACCCAACTTTTTACACATTTTCTCTGAAATTATTGAACATTTGATTGCTCTACAACATCTCACCATTTCCGATAACCTATTTGACAATTCGGCCATTTTAAATTTAATGAAAAAAATTACGGACTCACAAATTGGATTGAGACAACTATACTTTTATAAGCAAAAACTGACAAGACACGTCATTTTGGATATTGCAATTATCCTGGAAAACTATAAGCAGTTGTTCGTTATGAACTCAATAATTGATACAAAAAACTGCAAAATTTCCAATATGTTAATGGCGGATGATTTCATTAATAGTCAACTATTCAATTTATCTTCATTGAGAAGAATTCAATGTCATTTTGCCCAGGAAATAAATTATCAAACTTTAGAGTTGGATACAACAATAACAAAAGACAAAATGGATATTCTAAGGGAAATTAAACAAATTGAAATAAAAAATTTAAGTATGAAAAATAAATGCTTGCAAAAAGTTTCTTTAAAGGCTGTTGAACAATTTCTAGCTCATTTTTCAAACTTAACCCATTTTAAGATTGATACAATAACCAATTCAGAATTTTCCAATTTTTTAAGTCATTTTTTTTAGCCACCAACACAATCTTACCCATATTTCAATTGGAACTCTGGATCCAACATGGACAAACTATACTTATGGTTTCTTACCAAATTTCTTTGAATCAAATAATTACTCCAATAGAACTAAACATCAACAATTGCCACATTACAAAAGATATTGCGAAATCAATTGGAATATTTTTTCAGAAGCAAATGCGTCTAACTAAATTTATTATGACAAGAGGAAATGTTATTGGGGATAGGGGAAGAGAAATTTTCGAGAATGGCCTCAATCTCTGTTCCAATATCGAAGAAATCAATCTAAGCTTCTGCAGCTTCTCTAATGAAATGAGCATTTGTCTAGGAAATTTTCTAGCAAATCAAATCAATCTTAAAAAATTGAATCTTCATAATACAAACCTTAACGACGAAATTGGTAAAAATATATTTGAGAATTTTCAATATGTAAATTGCAGTATTAAAGAATTGATTCTTGATTCTTGCTATTTCTCAATTGAAATGAGTAGTTCACTGGGCAAATTCATTGGATTTCAAAGAAATCTCAGGAAATTAAACTTATCCTCAACTTGCCTCAAATTGAACATAGGTAAAAATATATTTGAAAACATTCCTCTATCATGTTGCTGCAATGTACAAGAATTGCTGTTGGACTATTGTAGTTTTTCCGAAGAAATGAGTATTCCACTTGGAAAATTCATTAGCAGTTAGAGGAATCTTAGAAAATTAAGTCTAAACAATACAAATCTCACTGGCCGTATAGGTGTAAATATATTTCAAAATATCCTTTATCCTTGCTGCAATATAGAACAATTGAATTTGGGCTCTTGCCATTTTTCAAGTGAAATGAGTGGACCATTGGGAATTGCTATTGGAAGACAAACTAAACTTAGAATTCTAAACCTTCAAGATACAAACATCACCGAAGATATTGGAAAAAACATCTTTGAAAACATGAATTTGAATTCATGTTGTAATATTGAAGAATTGATGTTGGATTCTTGTAGTTTTTCAGACAGAATGAGCAAGTCATTAGGAAGATATATTCGGAATCAGCAAAAGTTAACAAAGCTAAATCTATCATTTACGAATTTAACAGGTGAAATTGGTATGAATATTTTTGAAAATAGCACTGTTTTGTGTTGTAAAATTGAAGAGTTGAATTTGAGCTGTTGTAATTTTTCAAGCGAAATGAGCATCCAGCTAGGAGTTTTCATTGGTTTGCAAACAAGACTTCGAAAATTGAGTTTTCACAATACATCTTGCTACATCAGTAGTCAAATAGGAAAAAACATATTTGAAAATGCCCTTAACAATAACTGTAGTATTGAACAGATAAAGTTGGTAGCCTTAGATCTAACGGCCAACATGAGTGCTGTATTAGGTAGATTTCTTGGAAAGCAAAGAAATCTGAAATATATGAGTCTCTTTGCAACAAATCTTTGTGAAAGTAAAGGTAAGAATATTTTTGAAAATATTCCCAAATCCTGTTGCAATTTTGAGGCTATAAATTTAAGTTCGTGTAGTTTTTCAATAGAAATAAGTATTCCCTTGGGAATATTTCTAGGCAATCAAATATATATCAAGAAAATCTACTTCAGCAAAACAAACATGGCAAGGTTGGTGGGAAAGAAAATTTTTGAAAATATTCCTTCATGTTGTTCAACTCTTGAAGAATTACACTTGGATGCTTGTAAATTTTCAGTTGAAATCAATATTCCATTAGGGAGATTTATAGGATATCAAAGTAATCTAAAAACATTAAATCTCTTCGAGACAGATCTCAGATATGAGACAGGAAGTAGACTTTTTGAAAATATTCCAAAAATCTTGCAGTACTCTTCAGGATATTAATCTGGGATGTTGTATTTTCTCAAGTGACATGAGTGCTTCATTGGGAATATTCCTGGGGAATCAGACAAATCTGAAACTCCTTAATCTCTTCCAGACCGACATTAGTCACCAAATAGGAAAGACTATGTTTGAAAATATTTCACCTACCTGTTGCAATATTGAAGATTTAAATTTAGATTCGGGCACTCTTTCAAGTGATATGAGCATTTTGTTGGGAAGATTTGTTGGATTTCAAAAGAATCTTAGAAAATTAAACCTATACGAAACAAAGGTTAATTGTGAAATTGGGAAGAATATTTTCGAGAATATTCCACAGTCATCTTCTAACATTGAAGAATTAAAGTCATTCAACTTCTCAATAGAAATGGGTAATCCACTAGGAAAATTTATTGGATATCAAACAAATCTTAGACACCTCAACCTGAACGAAACGGATATTAGTGGTGAAATTGGAAAGAGTATATTTGGCAATTTACCAAAATCTTGCACAAGCATTGAAAAATTACAACTAGACTGTTGCAAGTTTTCTCTTGAGATGAGTACTCCTTTGGGTAGATTTATAGGAAATCAAACGAATATGAAGCACCTAAGTCATTATGCTACAAATATCAGTAATGAAATAGGTAACAATATATTCAAAACTATCCCCAATTCTTGCTGCAATATCGAAGAATTGCAATTGGATTCTTGTACTTTCTCAATAGAAATGGCTGCTCTACTGGGAGAATTTATTGGAAATCAGCAAAATCTGAGATACCTCAATCTAAGCGAGGCAACTATTGGTGGCAAAATTAGAAAGGAAATGTTTGAACATATTTCAGATTTTTGCTGTAATATAGAAGAATTGGAATTAGACTCCTGCAATTTTATAATTGAAATGAGTATTCCACTTGGCATATTTATTAGACATCAGAGAAACCTTAGAAAGCTTAGTCTCTTTTCAGCCAACCTTAGTGGTGAGATAGGTAGCAATATCTTTAAATATATATCACAATTCTGCTTAAATATTGAAGAATTGAATTTAAGAGGTTGCATCTTCTCCATTGAAATGAGTTTTCAACTAGGGTATTTTATTGGAAATCAAACGATTCTCTCCCATTTAGATATCTCTCAGACAGATGTTAGTGGAGATGTAGGTCAAAATATCTTTGAAAGTATTTGTCAAAAGTGCTGTAATATTGATGAACTTAATGCTGACCATTGTCAATTTTCCAGTGAAATGAGTTTTCCATTTGGAAAATTTATTGGAAATCAAGTAAATTTAAGAAAATTAAATATATTTTCTACAAATTTAATGGGTGATATTGACAAAAATATCTTTGAAATACTATCTGAATCTTGCTGTAATATTGAAGAATTAAATGCTTCTTGTTGCTGTTTTTCAATGGAAATGAGCTCCTCCTTTGGAAAATTTCTGAAAACTCAAGTAAACCTTAAAAAAGTCAACTTATACAATGCAAATATGTGTGATGAGACCAGGAGAATTGTTTTTGAAAGTCTCCCTAATTGAGAATCGTTTGCACACATATATACTTATGTACTTATGACAAAGTCAAAAAAGAGAAACAGAACTTCTCACATTTCAAGAGTCCCAAGTGTTTATGGGAAGCAGCCAAAGAAAGAATACACCAAAATCAATGTTTAAAACAATTTCCACTAGAAAAAACTATTTCAAAAAATTTTCAAAACATTTTTTTTCAACTTTTTTTTATATTTTCCTACCTATTTGACCTACCGTGGTTTCGTCCCCCTCTCTACTAATTTTATGTATCTGGGACTCTTCAGGGTCTTGAAAGTTTGGTTGAAAAGTTGAGAGGTTTGAGAATTTTCCTAATAAAATTCTCTCCAGATAATCATTGTATTATTTGTTGATAGAGATTCTTATATGTTAGTGTATAAAATCTATATTACAGTAATAAGAAAATTAAAATTTAGACTGGAAATGAAAAAGACAAAAAATAGAAGAAAACAAAACATTCAAGCAAAAATGAAAGATGATGGACTAGAGTGTGAAATATTGAAGTGAGGAAAAAATAAAGGAGAATAAAGCTTAACTTTTTAAAGGTGTTGTTTTCTATTTTTGTTTTTGTTTTTGTTTTTAACAGACTTTATCCAACATTCATTTAGTTGAGCCATGTTGTAGGTTGCTTTGGCTAATGAATGGATTGGAAAGGAAATTTGGGTAAGTATTGTTTATCTGCCTATATATTGTGTGTTTATGGAGAAAACGTCCACAAGAGAAAATGTCCATAACTTAGGAGAAAACATCAACAGCAAATTTTTATATGAACAATGGTTTAGAGATTAATATTTGAATGAAAATATGAAAAATTAGAAAAAAAGATGTGTAATATTTTATTCATGTAATAAGATATGTCTAATATAAAAGAGATAACTACAAAACATGTATAAACTACCAGAATATGAATTCCAAAAAATTTCTAAGTTTTTTGTAACTAGCTAAAGTTGTTCATGACATAATGTAAATGTTTGCTGCCTTTTCTAATAACTCTGATGCAGATACTGATCTAACTTCAAATTCCTCCCATATACCAAAAATCTGACTTTGAATTTTCTGATATGGTTTTCTTTGCTGTCTACAGATCTTTCTCTCACTTCATAATTTTTTGTAAAGGGAAATCAACTCTGCTTCTCTCTTTAATTCATCAATGATCACATACAATGAGGAATTTGCATGAATATTCCTATTTAATCTGTTGTGCCATCCTTCCAGATCATTGTTGGTTCTGATTGCTTCACCATATATAGACCAAGTGTGTGATGGATAATATCCATATAACCACTGGTTCTTCATGTAATCAATAAGTGGTCCTAAATATGTTGAAGTGGCCTGCTCCATGTTTTTAAATGCACTCTCAATGATGTTTGATGGTAGAAATGGTAACGCTATTATTTTTTTCATGCAATGATAGCTCTCTCCTTTTGCTTTACATTCACCAGAGTAGCCCAATTCCTATAATTAAAATATATATTCATATTTTCATGACAAATGATTATAAGGATTACTTGAATTTTTCTAAACACTGATTGGATCCAGTGAAAGACACATCCTTTAATTGCAACCTCAGGATAAACAGATGACAAAGTTCTCCAGATACCCCTTTCAAAATCAACAACAAATTTCATTGGTATATGTTGATTGGTCAGCTCCTTTATTGACTGTTTTAACATTTTTAATATTTTGTTTTTGCAAATTGAAAAGCATTTACCTGAAATAATTTCTTATAAGCTGTCTTTTTCTTGGAGGCCATAAATGCAAACAGTAAGGGAACTTGTTTCATTTCTCCATGTTTTTTAATGAATCCATGAACAGTGAACAATTGGTAAAATGGATCTCTAACACATTTGAATGTACCACCCAAAAACCATATCTTTCCCTTTGACAAAAGCTCAATTTGTTTTGGAGTTGAAAATATTATTATCCTGTCATCTTTCATTTTAATATCTTTCACCAAAAAATTATCAGGTATAAATGATAAATCAAAATTTGAGTGGACATCTGTTAGCTCTGCTGGCTGAAATCTCCTTTTTGTCCAATTTGCTAATCTGCCGCAGTTATCCATTGATGGAATAGCATCTTCAGAGTCACAGTGATGTTTTAATACTTCTTCAGCCAAATGTTTTCCAGAAAAGAAAGTTTCAGTTTCACACAATTTTTTAATTTCTTTTCTAATTGTAATTTTCTTTTCCAGTCCATCTTCTCTTTTATGGGAATGAGGTTTTTTTCCAGGATAAAATTGATCTTCCAATTGATTTACACTTGCTGGACATTTGTTGTTCTTGTTTCTTACACTGCATGTCCAGAATGTTTTTGTTAATCTTTTCATCTTTATTATAAATATATAACCATCATAAGCTAAAAGATCTTTGCCTTTTTGACTCATTCCTTTCAAAACTTTGAAAGTTGGCTCCATATCCACTTTTTTTGATGTTGGAGAATTTTGGAAAGAAGTTTCCATCACATTATTTGAATTATGTGAAAGATTTTCTGTTGTTATCCCAATGTTACACTCAATCATTACTTCTGTATAATTGTTTTAAACAATAACATAATTATCTTCCACAACATCATTTTGTTTTCCATTTTTTCAACATCTGAACCATTATTAACAACATCATTCTCAGTGATAGCATCAGTGCTTACTTGTTCATCTGTTATCTTAACTCCTTTTTCCAATACAGAATCCATTCTTTTGATTTGGTTGATAGACAGATGTTGTAATGTGACCAAACATGTTCTCTTGGAAATGTCTTGGCAAATGTTGCAAAGAAACAGATCATTTCCTGTTTAATGCAATTATCATATAGAAAAATACCATTTGTTAAAAATTGAATTAAAACTCACTTTAATACATTTCTTATGAATCATTATCAAATGGTGGCATAATTGACATTTTTTTGTATGCTGTCTTCCAAGCATTTTTTCCTTGCATTTGTAGCAATATCCCATTATCTATCAACAAGAAGTGAAAGTTAGCCAAAATGGTTGCTCAAAATTTTCAAAAACCTGATTTAGTTAATGATAAACTTACCTTAAGTTGATAAAAATTTAAAAGATCTATCCAAAGATATTCAAATTTTTCTATTATTGCCATGTTTTGTAATTAAACTTAGTAAATATCTTTTGCAGATAGTATTTTAACAAAACTGTTTTCTTTTTGAAAGGAACCAAAAACAGGAAAACATAAACAGGAAATAGTTCCTCAACAATATGGCGGATCTATCATTGCATAATTTTTATAATCTCAATAATAATATTTAAACCTATTTATCTATACCAAATATTAATCTCTAAACCATTGTTCATATAAAAAATTGCTGTTGATGTTTTCTCCTAAGTTATGGACATTTTCTCTTGTTGACATTTTCTCCTGTGGACGTTTTCTCCTGTGGATGTTTTCTCTTGTGGACGTTTTCTCCTGGACCCCTGTTGGTCATATGGCTTTAATCTGAAGAGTATATTTCATATTTTTGTTACTTGTGAATTAGGAGACAGTCACATTTAATACAAGTAATACTTTGGAAAATGCATAAAAGTAAATTCCAAATTTCCAAATCTCTTAAATGCCAAATTTCATTGTAATTTATGAGTATCATCATGTCTCTATAACAGTCACCAAACATAATTACAAAATCACTAACTCTTGTAAATTCATTGTCCAAAATTTTGACCATTCAAGATCATACTCCAATTCACAATTCTCTTTGAACAAATGTTGTTTATGAAACAAGAAATGACAACAATTAGAGATGGCCATGTGCCAAGAAAATTTTTTCTGCTCACACTGATGGAAATATCAGAGGTTCTATCCTTTTCCAATATGCCTAACCTTTAGATGGGAATGCCCTAACCCACTTCATACCTTCTTTCTTGAAGATTTTTTTTTTTGAAATTCTTCATTAAATTAGAAAAGTAGGAAACAAGTGAAAATTTTTTGAACCAGTTTTAACAAAAAGACTGTTTCTCTAGTTTGAATAAATCTGTTATCAAAAGTAATCAAATAAAATTAAACCAGTTTAGGACATTCAAACTACAATAAATTGTTGAGTAATATTTGAAAAAATGTGATAAAATTCCATAATAACTTAATTCAATATTTTATAAAATTTCATTTGATTTCAATATCTTTTATTTAAATTGAAAAATTCAAATTAAAATTTTTAAGTGTTAAATTTCAAAACGAAATTCTAATATTGAAATCTAAAAATAGAAAATGCTTCATGTTGAATTTCTTTTATTTTCCTTTTCATTATTTTGAGTACAATGTATTCACTAGCCATTTCAATATTAAACATTTTACTTTTAGATAATCGAGTTGTTTGTAGAAAATATTTTTCATTAGAATCACAATTTTCAATGGATATAATAAAGAAAAATGATGTTTTCAATGAAGGATATGTGTTTATGAATGTTAGTAACGAAATCTATTATTTCTCTTATGAAAATTATCATCCAATGACTACTAATTATTTATGTAAAAAAATGGGTTATGATTCATTCCATTCAATCATTTACTATGGAAATAAATATATTGCACAATCAGCTAAAATTGTCTATAAGCCAGAATCAATAGTCTATGGGTATGAATTTTATTTTCGATAAGGTTCATCAATCAATCAATCAATTGATCATATGACTTTAGATATATATACCATAAAATAACTAGAAATGTTCTGGTATTGAAATGTTTCAAAAAAAATTCAAAATGTTGGTGAAAACCTTAAATTTTAAACAATTTAAAAAAAAAATTTTTTTTTATTAGACATTTTTAGTATTTCAATTAATGGAATTCAACATCAAATGTTTATCAGAATAAACCAGTCGAATTATTTTATAAACAAACATAAAATTAGAAATAGAAGAGAAATTTGTCAACAAAATCAATTTTTTTTTCAAAATTATCATAATAATAACTTTTTAAAAATTGGTTACAATTTTTCATTGGCAACATTTAATTTTCAAAATGAATTAGTTGGAGAGTTTAATGT